TAAATCCTTTTGCAGACGTTCGTAATTTACCTACCAGTGTGCATCCTAACAAGCAACGACACGACGAATTTCGGGACAGTGGAAAAGTTTGTCATAGGACGGATTCCCGTCAAAAAAATATGCTGATGTGTTGACCGGTTAGAGGCTTCAGAGCGTTGAGGAAACTCCAAGCAGCAACTCGTTTCTTCTGTAACACTGCCGACATCGAAGCTACAAGTATTTGCGTAGTGCGGACTAGTTTTAAATGGAACGCACTGTGTCTTGCATATTCCTTAGGCTTTGAAGAGTGCTTCTCCCCTGACCCCCCCCCCCCCAAAAAAAAAAAAAAAATCCCATACGGCCTTGTTCTGACCATCATCAGTCTATCCATGTTCTCCTCTGGAAGCGATTTACCTTCAAACTTCAGTAACTATGGGGCTGAACCCAAGAAATCGACCTTGCACGTTCACCCGTGAATCAGCAGAACGGATAACCAACTAGAAGACTTGTCTTCTGTACTCGCGGAAAAATGCTCTAATGGCGGCACGTGACACACGGAGGTCGACTCGTATGTGTCACCACATGACGCGATGTAGAATGGCATTTACGACTTCTGGAAGGACGACACGGCGAGCTTCAACGCATCTTGGTTGTGAAATGAAATTTTAGGAAACATTAATTCTTCCTGAATATTATATAGGATGAATGGATGATCCCTGGAGCTTGGATATGTGAATCAAACTGCTGTTATTCATATGTGCTGGGTGCTTTATGATGTGACCAACATAAACAAAATTAAATCCGTGGCGTAACAGCCCTCTGAGAGCCAAAGCCTCACGTTCACATGCCTAAGCAGAGGTGAACGATCATCCAACCAGATATAGGGTGACGTGTGGTCAGCACGACGAACCCCCAGCCATTGCTAGTTTTCCTGACCGGATTACGCTGCCCAATTTTCTAACGATGCTGAGTTGGCACCGGTCGAAAATCTCATGAGAAATTTCTTTCCCCGAGACTCGAACCAGCGCGCATTCCGTATCGCCGGTCCGAAGCACGATGCCTCAGACTAAATTCCCACCATACAGAGTGCAAATATTTTGTATTGGTAAATGAAATACCACAAAAAATAAAAGAATCTAGAAATTTACTTTTCTGCGTATAATCCACACAGGCCATGTACAAAGAAAGATTTCCAGGGATGCTTCCAGGCTTGGCAGCGGCGCTGGGATCGTTGTGTTCACTCCCAGGGGAACTACTTCGAGGGTGATGGATGAATTTAATACCTGAGATAAGTGTACGGGTTTTTATAGGCGCAGTCTTGAAACTTTGCGATCGCACCTCGTACAAAGCCATTTATCCACGCTTTGATCTTGTTTTCTGTATCCATTTCTCTATTTAAAGCTTTGCACATCTTACGTTTCGCCAGTAAGCTTGTGTTATACGAACGTCACGCACTGATTTCTTTTCTTGTGCTGTGAACAGAGGTCTAAAGAGAGCCCTGCAAATTTCGAACCAGCAAATTAATTTTGTTTTTCAATTACTCCCTAAGCTAATTTGGCGAGCGTGCGAAGAAATACCTTTCCGGGCGCTGATTACACAGCAACCTCAGGGCAATAGACGCCCACACTTCTTTGGCTATCTTTATGTTTACGTAATTCTCATTATGGTTGCGAGATGTGGGCCCTGCTCCGGGAACTGGACCAAGCCTCACAAACTTATTGGCAGAATTAAAACAACAACTTTAGATCGGGTTATTCAATTTCGGAATTTGATGTGTTAATGATATTAATAATAATTCCTAAAAAACTACAAAACCACCGCTGCCTTAGGGTATGAAGTTATTTATGATTATTTACATAAATTCTTCAACTGAAGTGCCTCCAGTCAGTGTGACATGAAAGCCGTCCGACCGGAATTAATCCCTTAACTAACGAACGCGTTACTACTGTTTACGTACGCACACTGACCACCCACCCTTTTCGTTACCACCGACTCTGAGTAACCACTGACGTCCGTGTTCGAGTGTAGACAACAACTGCAGACGTAATATTAACTTTTCGTGATGTTATGTCGACTGTGAGGATGGAGGAACTTTATATTTCCCAAAAAACCTTGTTACACGCCTACGGGTCCACGAGGAGTCACTGCCCGAAAGACTAACAACGCTTCGCATCTCTGATACCCACCACCTGATCGATCGTTGTGGAACCGAACCACGGTTTCCTAATGTCGCCATTACGTCACATCCAAGTGGCGTAATGAGGACACGCATTGCAATCAGGATCACACAAAATCAGAAGATTTAACGGGTGTGAGAACTTGAATTGTGATCTTCGAATTATGACGAAAGTTATTTAAGATCTTATGGAAGCTTCAGAGCAACCTGCTGCCTCCATCTTCAAAGGAAGAGCTGTCACATCCCGAAGACCACGATATAAATTCAAGAGGATTCACGGAAAGCGCGCAGTTTTCGCCTGATTCCTTATGCTGACGTCAAAGAAGTTACTCAGCTGTTGATAGTTTGGAGTAAAAGGCAAAATTATTTTCTTGAAGCCTCAGTCACTGATAAGATTTTTCTTTCCTGACTGAACGGAAAAAGAGACGAAGAAAACCAGTGGTTGAATAAACGATCTTCTGTTGTTAATTTTTGTCATATTTATACCCTTTCAGACGCGGAGCACTTTTTCAGAGACCCTACAAAACGCAATTTCAACTTCCCGTGAAGTACAAGTTATAATCGGCCGAAATTCAATTAAATTCAATCGTCAATCTTCCGTGAACAGTCTGATGTTCAGGTCAGGACATGCAAAATGCAGAGGCATTTCACGTTCATTTATTAACTTAGTTCAAAGAATGGGGATCGGGAAGGAAGTCGTGCGCTCCAGAGGACTGCTCGAGAGGTCCCTCGGAAGTAAAAAATTTCATTACCTGGCATCGGTCTGCTTTATTGCGGAGGCACGGCACTAGGACATGGCTGTCCAATTATGTGCCTCACCGCAGACGTCACAAAAGAAGGTCGCGGGCAGACACGTGACGGTAAAACTGCTTTAACGCTCCGGCCACCTTTGCCCAAAAGTGGATGACGTATCGTCTTCCAGTACAGCTGATGGAGGCTTTACGATCCTCCGAAACGTCGGCAACTATATAAAAGACTACGTTCCGTCAGAGATCAGAAGATCACAATCCGGCTGACTCTTCGGTCATTTAATGACGACTTTTCAACTGTAGTGACTACGCAGCGTCGAACGGTAAGGAAACGGGAGTGGCTTTTTCTTGGGTGAACTGAGGAAAATCACGAGAAACCAATGAGATCTGGAACCTTCCACTGTCGACCGCTCGGCCGACAACTCTGATCAGCAAAAGACCACGCACACAAGAAGAAAACGAAACTGAAAATTCTACTCCTTTTGAGGAACACAAAGTCTCGCGGACTGTCACGCAATCTCCCAGCTTCATGGACAAACCAAATTTACATTTTTGTGCGCGCATTCTGAGCCAGATTACTTCTATAATATCCATTTTAATATTATCTCATCTGCGTCTCACATTTCAAATAAAATATTTTTTTAAAAAAAATCTCCTCTCTTCCGCTTACCGGAAATGCTTTGATACTTCTTAAATATTACAAATCATCAAACTCATAATTAAGCAGTTTTCTCCAGCAACTCTTTGTAATCAAATCCCGGAAGTGACCAATCTGTGGTCCAGCGTTATTCGACAGAGCACGGACCAAATTGGACAGCCCTGCACCAAACTATAAAGCACAACTGAGTCACCGGCTGTCGTGCAATTTCGGATCTCCAATCGTGAAAGCGTGTGGCAGTTGTAAGCGAGTAATAACAAACTTCAATCCTGATACAGCATTCTGCAGCGCGCAAATTATTTACTTTCGCAAGACGCGGGGAAGTGCGTGATCTCGTTTGTGGTACAGATTTCATCTTACTAAAACCTTTTACGAAGTCTTGGGGATAATTTGAATTGTATTCGCGTTAATTTTTATTTGCTTGAGGTGCGGAGCTGTAGCCCCGTGCTAACAGCCGAAGGCAACGAAAACAAATTTTAAAAAATTCACGTTTCAATCGATCGTAATCAATAAATTACTAAATTAATCTCCCCGAAGCAGATGCAATTTGAAATCGCGTGTCCAACTAAAACCAGAGAAAGTATAATTTTCCCCTCAAGATTATGTTGCGTCAGACAAGGTATGAAATATATATATCTAATAATTAAACAGAAGCAGTTGATTGAGAAATTTTAATCCCTACCGGAATAAACGCACGCGTTCTCTGCAAATTCTTAATTATTTATAAGTTATTGCGTAAGCTACATTTTACACACAAATTTAGTTTTAAACAATACAGATCGCGTAATCTTAATGTGTTACGTCTATTAAACAAGTGCCGAACGAACAAATTGTTGTAATCTGCAGTCCTTTGTTAGTGGCGCTGCTAAAACGCGGTGACCGAAGAAAGAACAACAAAAACAAACTGCGATCGGGATGAATAAATTCACCGAATATGCCCATCGCCTGTTTTTTTTTAAAAAAAAGAACGCTACGTTTCGGAAGTTGGATCTGCTTCCGTCCTCGGGTTTAAAAGCAGGAGACGGGCACCTACTCGGTTGGGTCCCATAGAATTGAATTCCGAACTTCCAATAAAATAGATTTTAATACGCGAACTGCAATACCGTAATTACATCGCGCATTTCATAATCACCGTAAAGGGACGTTCCACCTTCGTAATTATCGCGTCGCGGATTCCAATCGCCAGACGGCGACCGGCCACATCGAAACAGGTTCTTCGTGTTCTTCCACAGACACTCCTGACATGTTAGGGCATGGCACATCCTCCCCTCTTCAGCGTTCAAATAACAATTCCACGTTCATGAACCAGGAGATTTTAAATAGCCTTCAAAAAATAAACTCCTCTGTCTCAAGATATTACGCCGACACATCAAAAGTACGGCGGGCTAGTAGTAATTCAGGTCCGATGAGAGCAATGAAAGAGGACAATGGTACTCACCTCCGCGAGGAACGTAAATGTTGAGGTAGAGGCAGTCCTCGCTCTGGTTCACGAGGAGCGGCAGCAGCTTCTCCAGGAAGAGGACTCTGCCGCGAGGCAGCTCCAGGAGCGCCTCTGTGCGGTTGCCGATGTCAGGTGGTCGCTGGGGGCACACCGGCGAGAAGGAGTCTGCAAGTCGCGGGTTCTGCCACATGGAGGGCGTCACAGGGGGCATGTAGCGCAGCGATCCGACCGGAGGGCTCGCGTAAGGGACGCCGAGGAAGGCCTCGACCGGCTGGTGGTTGTGCTGAAGAATGACGCCGCGGAGAGGCCCGTACTTGGTCCTTACGACGCGAGTGCTGTACTTCTGGACGAGCAACTGCGCCTCTACGACGCTGAACAAGAGGAACGACGGAAGCACGAGGACGGCGAGCGGGAGGACGCCATCACGTGACTGATTTGCCACACAGAGATGCAGCAGCATGGCTAGTCGTCGTCACCCAGGATGACGTCGCCCCTCCATTGTGACGCCTTCACCACCTGGAGAAGCCCGCGTCTAGCCCCTGGCGGCCGAACACAACCGAGACGTCTCCATAACGGAAGCCACTGGAGCGGTCAGACATCACGCGTGCCCAAGGGGCGCTGCATCCTGCAAGCAAAGAGCGGGCACGATTACGCTGAAACAACGTGTTCTTGTGTAAGTAGGCTCCAAATGTGCGCACTGCGCACCCTTCGCCCGTAGATCTTTACGATGACAGAAACAGACCTGAAACGTCATCTGCGAGAGAGAACAGGCTATTATACGTAAATCTTAAGGGGACAAAATTCGAAGCAGGTATTCAAGTAACGCATTTAACATTGATGCAATGAAATATGAAAACAAATTATTTTATTCTGTAATTGCCTCATTGTTTAAAGCTACTAAAGTTTAATTAATTTTTGTGTGGTAGACAAGTGACGTTCGGAAAAATAAATGATGGATTTCTTTCCATTTGAAACAAAGGAAACGCAACGTCCAACCACGCACTTCTACCAACTTGAAAAACATTGGCCCACTATATTTGTTATCAGAATTACATAATAGGTATAATTATTATAGATATAAACAAAGCCCCCTCCCCAGGAACCCGTGTCGCTTCCCTGCCCCTTTAAAAACCAGAAAAAACCCACCCGAAATAACTTTGTTCCACCGGTTCCCGTAAAAAACTGCAAAGCCAGAGAAGACCGGGGAGCACTCTGACGGGAAAAGGCAAAGTTAAGGACAGGGTGACACAAAAGAAATGTCACACACACCTTTAGTCTTTTCAGTCCAACAGTGAAGTAGCGTGTTGGTAAATTACAAGAGAGCTCATGAAACAGGGCTTCAGAATTTAAGAAATTTGAAGCATATTCATTGGCCATTGATGAAACGTACGGCCCAACTAGCTAGGACACTGCGTGCATTTGGTGCCCAATTCAACGTAATAAAAAGTGATTTGCGTTCAATCAGCGACGGGCACTGTTGAAGGAATTAACTCTTTACGACCAAATATTTGGTCTCGAAAAAGTCGAAGGGGCTGACACATATGGAGCACATGCCTTAGTTAAAATTTAAGTGCTAAATAGATTTGTGTGAATTTGGATGCTTATGAACTATGCATAATCCACCATAAATTTTCCACATGTTACACCTGAAACTCTTAATTTAATTCATTCAATTACTTAAATCAGGACCACTTCATCAATAATGGTTTTGTCAAAGCGTTTGCTTTCCTGGTGGATCTAACTGCCTCCTTGAACAAGTTAATTTGAAGCGACAAAAGTGAACTGCGCATGTCAGAATCTCGCAGGCCACGCCCCTCCTCTGGAAAACTCGACTAACGAGTTGGATGGAGCACTTTATATTTTGCGACATTGTTTACCCACGTTATGCCAGATTACAGTTTTTTACCTTTGAATAAGTCATGGTTTTATTGAGAAATTCTAAGAAATTTAGAGGGAAGAAATAACCCTACCCATTTTAATACCGAAGTTCACAAGTTAAATAAAAAATAACGCACTTCACATTTTTCTTCTTTCGAAACATGTAAACCGTGTATTCATATTTGTTTGCTTAATATTAGTAGGTAATTGATGTTAAGGCGATTGTGAAGCGTGTTGGCCAAAGCTACAGAGTTTGCCAACAATCGACACAGGCTGCTTCCTTGCAAGTACAGCGGGGAGTTCGCCAAAGTTTCGTTCAAACATTGACTGTAAATTTATGCCATACCTTATTGCGACATTTTTGAATTGATTTTATGACGAAACCACAATGCTTGAATGCAATCAAGAAACATTGTGTACAGAAAGATTAATGGCTGCAGGCTGGTCAAGCTATTTTGATCGCGCAGCTGCAATAATGCTCCCGTTATTAATAAATGCTCACTTTCACTGTTGCCAAAGCCGTTATCCTGGTTCCTTCGAAGACTCAGATGAACTCTTAAAATTGACCTTAGAATACAAAATGTCGGAAGTAGAGAACCCAGTAAGATAAGAATTATACTGAGTCAGGTGCTGACGTTAATTCATTGGGCGAACACTTAAATGACTTAAAGAAAGCCGCAGAAGCTCTCTCAGTAAACTGGTCTGACAGTAAAGTAAGTTAATATAAATGTGGCTAATCGTTCGCAATTGTGGCAGAGTTCAAACAATCTTAAACTTCATCGACATGTCAAAATTACTTTAGTGAAGAGATTACAAGATTTATTTCCCGGAGTTGTTCTACGATGCGGGCCATAGTCTGCTGTCATGTGAGCCTACAAAACAAAAATGTCGCCTCTCGTTTCGTGTCGTTGTAAACTTTGTCTCTGGCATTGTTGGGTGTTAAACAACTTTTCGGAAATTAGTTATGTTTCCCTTATTAGATAACCCAGAGAAAGATTTATTACTCGCTTGAAATCTTCGACAAAGTAACCTCAATATTTTAGTAACACACCTAATAAAACTGAACTTATTAAACGAACATTTACAAATGATAAACGACGCCCACACCGTTCCATAAAATGTAAACACAAATGCAGTATTACAGACGGTTACAAACTGAACACAAACAACAAAACTGTAACATAAGGCACAAAATGAAGAATAAAGAATTGGATATTCAAACAAATCTGCTCCGACCTTACCGCTAACGTGGGAAAAATTCCGGACTGCGCTGTATTACGGGATTTTCACACGAGCGATGTGGGCCGCCCGCTTGTATTTTCCTGGTGCGAAGTTCCATTTGACCTGTAAGAAATCGGCTTCATCCCATTGTGACCTTGTTGGTCTCATTCGCACTTTCTTCCACCAGATCTTCTTTATGACTGAATCCGTGCTCCCTACAGACAACAACAGACGTCCGTCTGTCCCCTTGTAGCTTCTGCCGCACCCCCCCCTACCCCCCGGAATGTTGAGGCTCAGTGCCTCGTATCCAGTACTCACAAATGAACGAAGTATCCCGTGTTTTGTTTCGAAATCCGCCATAATGTGTCGATTTCCGTTTTGTCTGAACTTTTCACACGCCTGCTAGTAGTCTACACTGCACTGCACTACACACATGATTCACTAGAACCTTCTAGAACTAGAATTGCATCTAATACTAATAAAATGGGACGCTGTGACAACGTCCTGTTAATATTACAAGTGGCACCTGACAAGGGTTCTCGTGTTTCAGAACCTCTGAGTGCTTCAATCGATGAACAGGTGTCCCGAGCACAATAAAGACTCTTCTGTGTGTGTGTGTGTGTGTGTGTTGCAATGCAATTCCATTTTAGAGCCTGAATTGGCGGAACTGACTTGCGGAATACATCCATCTTGTACGAAGCGCGCCTCGTGGCAGCCGACTATACTGTTCTTCCCATTGCTGCTCGATTCTCAAGCGTTCGGCAGTTTGCAGTTGGCTCAAGGAATTCGCAGTCTTAAATTACTTAATCATGAAGCAAGGGACGTGAGACGTGCGCTGTACTTCGGCCACAACCGCAAGTTTGCAAGGTAAGTACGAACGAACGCATTCTAAACAGTTTCAGATGATGGAAGCTTAAAGGCGCGTTCTCACGAATCAAGTTTAATTGACCGATTATAGTTGATCAACGAAAGTTGAATATGACTTGAATCAGTTTTTGTTCACACATTTCAATACAAACTGATCAACAGTTTTTTCAATTAAAAATGGCGTCGAAAGCAGCTGTGCGTGAAGTTGTACGGATAGTAACTGTTTTGTTAAAAGACGAACTAAAAACAATTTTATTTAACATGAGCAAAAATCGTAAGAAACGTCGTTTTTGGGCACGTATACCTCCTCTGTTCCCATTCCACTTTTTTTTATTTGCAAACCAATGAATGTTCTTTTTTATACATCGATCTAATCGTCTTCAGACCAGCAATTTCCATTTCTTTGACAATAGAACCCAAAGCATTTTCTCTTGCATCTTTATTTTTATATTTATCCAGTCGGTGATTCCAAAGACAATCTTGCTTATGATAAAGTTCTAAACAATTTTAGCATCACACTTTCAGACCACTTGAGGCTCATTTTTCTAACTAAAAACAAAACACATGCACGAGTGGCGTGACCAGTTGAAAGCGAACTTGACAATCAACTGAAGTTCACACGTTTCAAGACAGGATTCAACTTGAAAGCAAATGGCGGATGACTCATCACTTGAACGATAAAGTTTGACTGGGTCAACTCTATCGAAACAAAGATTCTCACTACAGATTTCATTCAACTTTTGTTCATCAACTATAATCGGTCAATTAAACTTGATTCGTGAGAACGCGCCTTAACCAAAACTCCTTTTTGCATTGAACAGCTATTTTAATGTTGCTTTTATAGAAGGGCGTGTTTTTATATAAAATGGCTTTCGAAAAACCCGACGTGAAGTGACGATGTTAACAATATCAAATTAATATCAAAGGAACGAGAGGATTCATTTGGGTCAGAGTAGCGGCCATTGTTACGCTGTGATGTTTCTACCAGGGAACTAGACATTAAGGATTAAGTGTTGCTAGCGGGATACTATTCAAGCCCAATTTACAGCCTTTAATTAAACAGTTGTGTTATATCGCATACGGAATTTAATGTCTGTAACTGCTGAGTGGAGCAAACGCTCATTAGCCTGTCGTAATCCCCGTAATGGCTAGTACTAACACGAGTCCATTAAGAAAACAGTGCATTAATGTAAGACGCATTTGACGTTGGTTCAGTTTATTGCGTCTTCAGTAGACTAATGCGAGTCCTTGAAAGGATAATACAGTTTTAAAATTTTCGGAAGAACCAGATGGAACATCATCACGATTTCAATGACGCTGTCACAAACGCAAACCAGTAATTATTATAGAAAGTCGCACGAATAACCACAAATTAATGCCTCACGCTTTAATAAAACTTAGTTTTATGAGAATATATGATAATCTTAATATATGCAATGAGCACAAAATCAGTCAGACTCTTAATTAAAAGAAATGGATATAAGACGTTTTATATAACAGGCATATTTTGGTTTGAAATTGTACTCGTGAATAAATTGAATACGTAAAACAATTTTATGGTTGCGCTGCACACAGTGAATATATAGATCTTTTCTTATTTTAATGCGGAATACTTGGCACACCTGGTGTACGAAAGCTGCGAAGGAGAACACAGAAACTGTGTTTCCAAGGTCTTCATGTTCCCACCCAGTGGCTTGCTCTCGCAATATGAGCTCTACTTCGCAGAAACGTGAGCTGTTCGGAATATCAAGTACTCTTCGGTAATTTGTCATCCAGGCATGCGTGAGATGGGTGTCGGATGCTGTGTCGCCCTGTCAGTCGCCACTGGGGCGAATAATACGTTGGAGTTCCAGCTCCCAGCGACGTTCATTTGTTTACACGCAATTACAAATAGAAGTTCTGGATTCGCTGCGAAGTAGAAGGAAATAAATATAAACAAACATGTCCGAAGAGTCAGGCTAAATTGAAGACAGGCTGTTTCCAAAATCCCGACTTACCGACTTAACTTCAACTTAATAGAACGCGGACATTCAAAACCGCTTTCTCACTGACGAGCTCTTAGACTAGAATGCTTCAGAATCTATTTTTTTTTCAAGAAATTCCCAGTCTTTATGAAACCGTCCCACCCCGTCCGTTTAAGATCCATCTTCATACTACCCTCATGAAAGTGTTCTTTCTTTCCGGTTCTACGCCAAACGATGTATAAATTTCTCGTGTCTCCGAAGGTCGTTTCGTGTCCGATTCATCACGCGTTTTGATTCGTTCATCCACGCGATACTTGACAAGACAACGGATGCCGCACTCCAGTTAACAGGCAAACTCACACCAAAGTTTCGCAGTACAAGGAACTTAATTATTCCACTCATTAAGGACACAGCATCATGCACCTCGTATTTCGTACTAAATATGTCTCACTGCATCTAAAATAAAGGAACGCTGTGTTTTAGACAACATTTCCCCTCTGCAGGACATTCCGCAGAATCTCACTAAAGTGATGTATAACGAGGCGAATTCCATCCCCGGAATTGTGTTTCCGGGCGGCGTAATTAGCGTGGCGACTAATCACGGGTTTCGCTGTGCGTGCTACCTCGGATTTTGTT